GTCCAGCAGCGGTGGATCTAATCTCTGCGACCACATGCTCAGAGATGCCCGTGCAGGAGGAATCCTTCATGTAGCAAAAGCTTTGTCTGGGCACCATCCAGTCTTATGTCACGTTTCGTTCCTCAGGGGCCAAAGGAGTTGGCCCAGGGTAAGCTTTAGTTTTGCGTTTGGCTGTGGGGAGGAGGGTGATACGGGATGGCGTCCAAGATCTTCAGGCTCTCTCGGGATCCTCTTCTGGGGTTGCTGGGTCTTTTCTGCATGCTGAGACCGCAGGCCCTTTTGGCAGCAGCTCTAGTCTGTGATCACTGAGGTGAGATGTGATGTTCTCCAGAGAAGTGGGAAACTGCAGCCAGTCTCCGTAAGAATACCCAGGCTTTGTTTTCTCATGGTTCTGTTATCCACCAACAAAGCTACTGCTTTTCTAAAACTTCCTGTCCCTGAAAATCAAGGTCTCTCTAGGATTGGGATTTAAGCAACTTCTTCCGCCTTTGGTTCTAGCATAGGGTGCAGATTTTTTTCAAGTAATGTTAATATTTGCCTGCAAGCAAAATATTTTTACTTCCTTGGGCAGTTGTGAGCTGTACCTCAAAGTGCCTTTTGCACTGTAACTTTGTGCATGACAAGCTTTCAGTCTTACAGGGTCTGTGCTGCAGCTTCTATACTGTGACTTGCACTTAAATGAGTCAGAGCTGAGTCTATTTTGAGCATCTTCTGCATGTCCCTGTTGATGGAATAGGCAAGATGCTACGGAAAGGGGCATTTGGGGCAGACTAGCCAGGGAGGGTAGCATAGAACTGTACCATGCTGAGGATACAGTTCAAATGCCAAGCTAAAGCATCAGGATTTTGTAAAATAATAGCCTGACAACCATATACAAGTGAATGAATAGAGTGTGATTGAGACACGACAAAGGTTAGTAGTGCTCTAATTTAGGTTAGTTTAGTTCTCAAAGACAGACTAACAGATGCTGTTCTGCTGTGTCCTGTAGATCTGTTTGGACTATATTATTCTCAACTTTACAGCTGACAATGTATGAACTAATTAAAAAACCCATTTGTTTCAGGGAAGATTTTGCAATGTGGCTTCTTTATGAGATGACAGAGTCTGAAAACAATAGAAACATGGAGTGTTTGACTTTAAAGGAGAGCTCTTTTAGGCAGAACCAACAGTGAGATTTTAGTGAAGCTTATGAAAAACAGGCACCAGAAAATCAGTCAGTTAAATGTCACATAATCACATAGCTGAGAGTAGCTCCTACTAACACAGCTTGAATGGATAAAGTTGATAAAACCAGGATTTGAGGTGTCATAGGCTGTCCAGAATTAGTTGGCTCTCTAAGTCATAAGGTGTGTTGTCTTTGTTGTCGGTAAAGCTAGATTTTTGGTGAAAAAACCAGCAGAAAGTTCAAAAGCCTGTTAACATGAAATTCTCCTGAAATGCTGTCGTGTAGTCTGTGCTGCTCTCCTGACCCTGAACCCAGAGCAGCTCCCGCCACATTCGAGGGTGGCTCGGTAACCAGCCACTTGGCTCCCAGGGACCTGCGTAGCAGCTTGGGCGGCTTTGGCATCAGAGGCATTCCACAGGGATGGCAGTATCGGCCTCTACTGAACTGGTGCCAAATTAGCCACAGACCATCATCTTTGATGTCAGGATCTGCAAAATCATTGAAACAAGGTTGGTTTTGACTGCATCTGGCCCTCACGTGAACTTGGCTTTGATGTGGTCTCTTCCTTTACAGGGCTAGTGAATTGGATTTTTGTTTAGATGTCAGAACTGTCCTTTTCATTATTTCCCTGCTGTTGATTGTTGGTCCATCAGGACTACGAGTACTGTAAAACATCCATTGCTATCATGGGCTTCTAGCACCAATCTCTAACAAGCTGAAATTTTAAGAATGTCCCAAATTTGACGATCTCACTAGTACTTCCAATCTTGCCCCCTTCATGCTTCTCTACACCTTACCAGGAGCCTGATACCAGAGTTTAGGCAGTCCCTCTCAAATAAAAGAAACACAAGGAAAAGCAGGACTTACCCCTTCTACTGGTTACTGTGGTACTGCTCCAATAGGAGCAAGGTGACTTACTGATACTTCTTGTCTACCAGGTCAAGTTTTTAGATTCATCTTAGGTCCATGAACAAAGCAGCAGCAGTGTAACCCTCCAGTCCAGTAGAAGGGACTTGGGATTCCCTGGAGGCCTGGTGCTGGTGGGCATATTGGGCTTTTCTTCCCCCTCACCTACAGGTCTAGCAGTACGAAGTACAAGTCCAGTGGCCCAGCATATACGTGCTATATGCTCTCCCTTCTTAGCATTAAGTAACAAATAGTCAATGCCCAATAGAGCTAGAAGAAAGATGGTACCCAGTTCTAGAGCTTGTCTAGACGGTGCATAGCTTTAATCAGTAGAAATGCCTTCTGTTCAATTGATCTTCCGAGCCTCTTCACCTCACAGCATAAAACATTCATCAACCACCCCTAGAACACAGGGTTTTTCTCACCCTGATGGCTGAGGCACCATCCAGCAGGTGGGAGGGTGGGGGTAGTGATGCCCCGAGCTGTGCCAGATGATGGTTCACATTCCCCTGCTGTTAGTTCGGAGCTTGCTCTTTTACCGATCTTCTTTCAGGACTCCAGTTTTCTCCGTTTGAAAATAAAACACAAATATTCAATCCCCAGGACTTGCGCAGATGGAACAAGACACAAATGGCATAGGCCGATGGCAGCACCATCTTCCTGCTGCTTATTCCAAAAGCTGCAGCTGATAAGCAAGGGGCTAAAAATGGTGAGGGAGCCATAACACAGCCCTTGCCTGCCAAAACTCATACTACCACAAACCTCACATTTTATCTTCAAGTGACAGTACAGGAAGGGTCAATTCCCTCCTTGCTGCCTGGGAAATAAAAGACCAGGAGTTCAGCTGTGTGTTTACCAACCCCCCCATGGACAACAAGCAAAATTTCTAAAAAACATTGAGCTGGTTTTACAGAAAATACAATACAAAAATTACAGCAACAACCAAAGGCCTCAATCACCTTGACACAGGCACTGCATACAGAACCGGTCCCGTGTCCGCAGACCTCTCGCCAAGTTATTTCAAAATGAGCAACAGCTCACTCCTCCTCCTGCAATTTCACAGTAATTTCTCTTTGAAGGATGAAAGCAAAAACCTCTGACATCAGACTATGGCACAGGGCTGCGACTGGACATTTACATGCAGTAAGCAAAAATGTCCCTGGACAGTATTGCAGCTGCATCAGTGTCTCTTGAAAGCAAAAATTTATGTAAGAAACATTTTAAAAAATGTGTTGTAATAAATTTTAGTGGCCATGTGCAACTGAAATCCTTCCTGTCATGTCAATAGAAATATTCCGTTCTTCTACAAGACTCACATTCACACAAGCAGTATACAACTATAAACATTATTAAAGTTTATTAACAAAAGCTTTGTACATATCTTTTCATACACTTGGAATTTTACATCTAGTCAAAATAACAGCACATTTCCATCTTACCTTTTGTACAAATTGTTACAGAATATCCACCAGTGTGTTGAGTAAGTAAAATAAACCACTGGTTTGCTTTTGTAAAGTATCTACAAAAGTGATTTGTGACATTTTTAAAAAATTCCCCAGAACATATAAAAATAAATTATTTTTACTTTTACAATTAAATCTACTAATTAGAAATATTACAAATCAAAATATCAATGTTTTCTTATGAATTCTTCACAATACAAAACAGATTCACAAAACTTTATTTACAGAAATGAGGTAAGAACTGTGCAATGTTTAACTAAGAAACATATTGCAGAATTAACATGTTCTTCCAAATAAGTACACAGTGGAGGTCTAATTACAGCTGGGTCTTTTCCTCTAATAATTCCCACCTTAATATTGATTAGTGGTCATTACCGCCATTCAAACTATCCTTCACCATACTGCATAGACTCACGCCATGAAATCAGCTACTGTCAGAAGTGTTGTAACACAAGTTCACCCATTTCAACCACTCGTAAATTTCAGTGGGAAATATTAACTCACTTTTTTGGTCATTTATTAGTGAAAAGTGACCCAGGTAACAATCTGCCTGAGCTATCTACAGTGGTATAAACACCTCTAGTAAAGGCAGAACAAGAAGGCTGCTGGTGCAACACAGAATATTCCCGCTGCTAACGAGGACACGTCTAGTGCATGATCAGCTGTTTGCAGCCATTTCAACAAAATGGAGGTAGCAACAGGCACTTGGTTTAGGCCAAACACTACATGTACTTCTTCCAGTGTGGCCTTCTCATCTGGTAAGAAAACTTTGTCACTGGAACCAAACTGGTTCCTTTAAAAACCTCAGAACTCTAAAACCTACACCAAAATTAATAAACTTTGGATTCCATACTGTAATTCTTACTCAGGAAAAACTCCCACTATATAACAACAGGAATTTAAAGGAATAAAAAGTTCAGAAGAGGATTCCCTTATGAGTCAGGTTTCAAAACAGGTATGTAAAAAAGAAATTACAAACAGCAAGTCCAGGCTGCCATTACAAGCTTAGTCTAGAAGGATATATTGCAACTGCAGCAGAAGATCAGGCTGGCTAGGGTTGGGGTGGGTTGGTTGGTTTTTTAAAACTACTGCTCTGAAATCAAAGTAATGCATGAATGCAGACAGTTTACTAGCCTTTAAATTTATAAGGTTAGGACTGAAGAGTCAAGTATATGTTTTTCTATGGTTGAATTTGTACTTAGTACCATCATATTGACAAAATAATTATGGTTTGCAGAGTTTTATCTACTTCACAGTCTGAAACATTAAAAAGTACATCCATTTTAGTGCAACAAAAAGCAAATGAAAGCCTACCAAAAATTCCTTATGAAAATTATTAACCTTTTGCTGTGCAGTAAGGAGTTCCTTGTTGCATTTCTTCAATCTGCAGAAAGGAAAACTGCAGTTTGCAGCCACATGAAGTGCTGTAACAGCATGACATGCAGTTCTCAAGTATCATTCAAATGTCAACTCTTCTCTGATGCAACTGGTCCAGTTTTATCATTGAGCCTCTGTGTAAGAGAAAATACTTCTAAAAATCAGATTATAAAATACAGAGTTAAGTAAAATTAAATTCAAACAAATGACAAAGCAGATGAGGTACATTTACTAGAGCTATCTAAATAGTAACTTTTGCATTGTAAAGAATAATCACGTACTGTAGAATAAAAAGTGGGAAAGGAAAGAATAATTAAAGGAATAGTCCTACACTGAATCAACTCATACTAAGTTCATCACAGCTAGCATTAGAAAACACCAATTTTGCTTCTATTTTCATTCCAGCAAGACTTGCTGTTCCTGGCTGTTGGTCTCTCCTTAGAACCACATGACAGTCAAGACAAATACCAGGTGACCTCTGCTACATGTTACCCACTGGAGAGGGCTGAAATCCACACTTCTCCATCAGAATAGAAATACAATTTCCATTTTGCCCCGTCATGATTATCCTTCTTCCGTAAGTTGCTACAAAGACATTTCCTGCAAGTATTGAACAGGACTGAGCAAAAACCTCATTCACTGAGCATTCAGAAACACTTGAAAACCTGTTCCAATTGGAAATGAGATTAAAACATTCAAACTTTAGGCAAATAGAGAATTTATTAAAAATTATTTTTGGATTAAAATAGTTCAACAATCCAATGCAATCTGTCTCAATTCTAACCCTTAAAAAAAATATAAAAGCAATTTCATAAGAAATTTATTTCTAAGGGTTTTGTTCGAAAGATGTTCTGAGATTTCCTGGAATTGTTTACAGCTAACTGTTATAAGAACAAAAACTAAAATTGTAACAGCGTATTTGTAAAATATATTAGTGCTGCCCGGTCATGCTGTCCAAACCTAGTAATAGCCATTTCAAAAAATTCAAAATAAGGTCACATACAGAATAGTTTGTTCTGATGCAAACCAAATAAAGGGTCTCAATTCCATTTACTACTAATTTTTAGAAAATGAGGGGAGATAAATTTTAAACATACTAGAACAAATTGTGATCATTTCTAAATGAAGGCAAGGCATTGTAGCGGTTCTGCTCTGACATTCAGTGACCAGGAAAGAACGTGATCTTGCCGGAGTCCTGCAGTTTGCAGTATGGTTGCAACATCAGAACAACATCATGCAACATCGTGACAATGACCATGCCCAAAGCTTAATAAAAGTAAAAGCTCATATTTCTGAATGGAAGGGAGCTGTCTCCAGGAAAACTGTCTTGAAAATTCACCATTTATGTTTTGTGTCTCACCTTATGTTTGGGAAGTACCACAAAAGCCCAGCTGCCAGAGTCCTTCTCCACCACTGTGCCCCTAAAGTAGCTTGAGGAGGCTTTGGGGGTGGGGAGTGGAGAGGGGACAAGTATCTAGCCCCAAACTCTTCCCACCTGCTCTTGCAGACTAGCTTCCCTTTTATCACTACCACTGCCACTTGATGTCTTCTCCAAGGAATACTGGAACTTTGTCTTCCTGCTCTACTCATCCTTTGTTTTTGCAAGTTCCACATGCTCCTTCCCTTCATCCTCTCTTATCTTAGTTGCATGACCCTTAGAGAATGAAGTCTATTCTCTGACTCCTTGAAGAAAGAATTCCTGTCTTGGGGATGGAGGTTACAGGCAAATGCTGAAGATGATGGAACATCTTTGCCAGAAGAATGTGTCGTGTTTCCTTATCTGTCTGGGAAAGGTTTTATTACTCTATCAAGCAAAGGAGTTGCTCAGCCTCCTAGGGTACAGCCTCATCTTCCCACACCAGAACCAAGATACACATAGCCCATTCTCCTAATACGTATTTCACCTTCCCATCAACGGGCTCCTCATCTCTCAAGTCATCAACTAATCTCTGCAGCTCCACAGTGCCTGAGGCCTGGCCAGGACAAACTCTTCAAGTAAGGTGATAAAAGGAATGATCTACAAAATAGTGGACACAAAGCTGGGGAAGAAGGTGGAGTGAGGAGGACTAGAGCTGCAGCTGCAATTACAAGAGGAAGGCAAGGGTCACTGGATTGGTGTCCTGATCCATGGAAGCAGGAGTGTGCAGCAGACAGGTTAGGTGTAAGTGACTACAAGTTCACAGTTCTGAACCTCATTAAGTGCAGCCCAGGACTCAAGAAAAAGAAAATAAAGAAAACAAAGAAAAAATCCACCATCCTTGAGTTGTGAATATAGGCACATAACTTGCTTCATATCTTTTAGTTACCTCATGGAGGTACTACATTGAAAATGAGGTGAGAAATATACTTACTGTCACCTTCTGAGCTGCATTATCTCCATGAATTGTAAGGAATGGGTTGGTAGTAGCTGCATTAAGTGGTGAGGCCTGTGTGCCTGAAAGTAAGTTGTTTATGGGTATCTGTGCTCCTCCAGTAATCTGCAACTGCTGTACTTCAGACTGATGGTGTTGGTGGTGGTGATGTTGTTGCTGTACTAATTGATACAAAAGGGCCTGATGTTGTTCCTTGAGTAATACAAGGAGAGGGAGGACAAAAAAATAAATAAATCAAGAATTAGTTACTGAAAAAATAGCTCCTCCCTGGGTTCTTGCTTATCCAAATCTTCAGTCAGTGCAACCCTTAACCTAATCCCAGCTAATTTACGTTACACTAATGAAGTTCCACGAGACTGTGGGAAAGGGAAGAAAGTGCTTATAAAATTTCCTGAAATCAGTAGCTCAGGAGAAGTTCAGCTAAGCCTGCTGGCTTCATCAGGCCTCTATCAGAAGAAACATACCTGAGAAGAATAGCAAACCGTGTTTGTCAAAGTACTACAACTACACAATACAAATAGTTAAACCAGTTACCTAATGACCTACATGAATACTGCAAGGCAGAGCAAAGACAGTTCACGAGATGATACCCAAAAATCTTTTGCTAGAATCCTAGTGGAATTGGAGAATAGCTTAGGAACTGTTAGAATCCATACATGGTCCCAAACTCTGCTGCCCACAGCCGATGCTGAGAGACACAAGCCAGCATGTCCACACGGGACAAAACGGGACTGAAGGCACTAGGGAACGATTCTTCTAGCAATACACACAGCCCAATAATATCCTGTAATTTAGCATGACTATCATCCAAAAAGGTTGAAGCAACTGAAAAGCTAAAAGATTATCAAAACCTGTGATATCGAGTTAAACACAATTCTAGTATTTATATTAAGGTGAGGAGTTTATCTATGCCTTAGAATAGAACAGAAGAATAAATCATAATTAACTGGAAAACTTACTGATGTGAGTTGCTGGGTACTTAGTAATTGCTGAAATTGCTGGTGCTGTTGATGGAGTAGAAGTTGTCTCTGTTGGTCAGGAAGTAATCCTAGTCCTGAGGCACTGTAGGGTTTGACAGGGTAATACTGTAGTTTATATGAAAGTATGGGAACTTTTTACTTCAGCTTTCCATTGAAACAAAGAAAAGATGTATATAAATAGAAAGTTCCTGTTTAGCATTTTGATTGCATACAGTCAAATATTAAATTGTCTGTCTGTCCAGTTGCATTTTTTGATACATACCTAGACGTTAGCACCACCACCCCCAGTCTCATTTATGCTGAGCAACAGCAACACCTTGCCTGTAACGTAAGTCTACTACATGCACATTATTTTAAACTCAGATAATAATTACCATTTCTACATTTTTCAAATACTTTATACAGAAAGGTCAGATTTTATATTATAAGACAGCTCTTGCCAATCTTTAATACTTAGTTAACTAGCATTTACTTTGCCTTGGTTTCCTTCTAATTCTCATCTTTTGCTATATTCAAATCTATCACTATTGCCTATACCTTGTCTGTAATTTAGCAAACACATTCAGCCTTGAAGTGGGCCGATACTGCCGTGGAATGAAGCAGGCTGCCTCTGCACTTGCCTACTGCTTAGCTATTAGTCCCTATTTTCATGCCTACATAACATTTTCTGCAGGGAACTGATCCAGCTGACAACTGGTCTGGAAATAAAGGGTTTCTTCAGCTATGCCAGTTCACTGCAAGACCAACAGCATGAACAAGGGTGGTTTTGGAATAGAAGACGAGGAAGACAGCTGGATGTACTCTTTTGGTACCAGTATTATCTTTTACTAGTTTAAAACGCCCACTGAATTATTAAGGTGTAGTTTCATGATAGGTTTACCACCCCACTATTGAAAGGTTAAGTATTTCCCTTTCATTTCTGTCCCCTCCCCTTGCACTAGCTCTTGCACAATGAGCTGCATCTCGTGGGAATGGAGCTGAAACCTAAGCCAATACGAAACACACTGAAAGATTATTAATGTAGATGAGGTTATTGTGTGAATGCACAAGCACTAGTACCAGCAAGAAGGTGTGTGCAGGATGACCAACAGGACTGACAGGATTGCTAGTTGTGATTGGTAGTGAGGAATTAAATTAACTTAAATCGGCCACAAATCTGCACAGTTAGGCTGCAACCATTTAGCTCTTCAGGACACAATATTTATCTTGCCTTTCTACAGTAGCTAGCATACTGTAGCCTGGCTCCATGATCACTTTGACATTTACTTTGTATTAACTAGCCAGTATGAAAATACCCATAGCATCACCATTCTCTACTGCTGGGACAGGGCAAGCAACACATAAACCTTGTTTCATACTTCATTAGATGGCCTCAGTGCTATGGGAAACACGTGCTGGGCTGCATTTACTATTTCCCATCATCTACTTCACAACATCCATTACTATAATTTCTACCACTTTCCTGGTTCTCAAACCTCTTGTCAATGGTCCTTTTCCCTAGCCAAGAAGTCAATTCTACTGACCTTGTCCTGTGCAAATAATTTTGCCTCTGATTATTCTTGGTGTACTGTTTTTACCTTGTATTGTATCCTTTTCTGAAACTGCATAATCAGAACTGTACATAATATTCCAGCTGCACACACACCAGGGATTTAATGTGACAGAACACAAAATGGATAACACCATTCTATTTATTCCCAATAACTGCTAGCAATGTTTGTTTGATTGTTGCTGAAAACAGAGATGACACTTCACCTATCCAAGGGAACTCCTAGGTTTTCCTCCTGAGTTACAACAGGAAAACTGAGGCCTAACATAAGCTAGAAGTGTGTATATGTTTGACTTTCAAACAATGACACTCATCGATTAATTGAAATTATTTCAAACAGCTTTAAGTTCAAATGTATCAAAAATATTTGAAACTGCAAAAAATAAGTACCTTCAGTTTGACTAATATTACCATTACTTACTTCTTCTGTTTTAAATTCACTTTTTCTGTATTCTGCTATACTGGAATGAATCTTCTCCACTGTTTTTTCATTCTTTTATCCCATTCTTTCTTTTTTCCTGTATCATGTTTTACCTTTGCACTTCTTTTTTCTGCTGTTATTCTCCCTTCTCTTTATCCACTCTGTCTTCCTCTCTTGCTCTACATTGGCACTTGAAAGAAAATACCCTCAGCCAGCAGCTGAGATCTAAGTGTCTAGAAACAAAACCTAACCGCAGAAGACAAAACGCTGCAGTTCTGAGCTTCCCAGAAGAGGCAGTTCACTGGATTTCACCACAGAGCTTTCTCTAAATTAGATCAGCTTGGAATGTAAAGGTAATCCTTTTTAGCTTCTCATTAAAAGGTATATGATCAGTCTGAAACTCTCTATCCTACAGTCTTCTCTGCTTGTAAGAATGTAAAGAAACAATCCTATCTTTTTCCTCAAATCACTTAGTAATCTGTATTAAGCCATCTTTTTCCCAGAAAAGGATCGAGTCTTCTCTGCCAAATGAATGTAGCCTCTTCTACCTACAATTTGAAACTCTCTCAAACAGCAGTGTGCAGATGAGTGTTTTCTCACCTCCCTATGTCCCACAGTTAACGAGCTCATGTGAATAAGGACCATATGCATAAAGAAGTCTTCATGTATTGGTGAATAGCTATTTTTCACATGAAACTGTTTGAACAGATTCTGAAGCTTGGGAAGTTACTGTAAGTAGCAACTTACAGGACAATCTGGTAAGTCTTTTAAGTACAGAAAAATATGAAAAAGTTAGAAAGTAGGGCTGAGTTCTCATGTGACTGTCCATCACGTTGGGAATACTGATATAAGCCAGCTCTGAACTTGATCACCATCATCAGGTTTGGAGAGCTCGCAACAGCATGGTAGCAAATCTCCATGCCTGTCTGTGCTTGTTACCATTTAACCCTCCACTTACGCAGTTCAAGGAGTAGTGATGCCTAGAAGAATTTGATACTAAAGAAATAGTCAACTAGGTGCCACTGAAACAGCACTGAATTCAAGAGTGGCAGGAACAAATGACATCCCATAGAGTTTCAGAACCAATAATCTCAACCAGTGGAAAATACTTCCCCCCCGCCCCTTCATTCAAAGTCATCCCAGAGCCTTTCACAACTTAGTTCCAGTAACAGAAAATTTTTTTTCATATTTTTCACTGAAGCATTTGTAATGGAAGAAACAGGAATGAGGAATGTACATGTCATTGCTAAAATCATATTAGCACTAATTAGGATTAGTGCTTGCTCGGCCTGAACTTTTTTCCTCTAAATATACAACTAGAAATACTGAAAACTCACAGAAAATGGGGGCAATTGTGAAACACCTCAAAAGGAAGGGGGCCCAGGAAATCAGCTGGATGAGCTCAATAAAGCAGAGAATTGTGTGAAAAGTAAATTTAAAATAAACATTAAGTTAAAATTAATATTAATTTTAAATTAGTATTATTGAGGGAGTAGTGCAGAAAGAGACCATGCAAGAACAGAAATAAAAAAATGGAAATGTTGGCAGAGTTGTACATCATAAGCTTCTTGTAGCAGAAAATAGGAAATCATTGGAGTATTCTAGACCATGCTAGAAGTTAGAATGAGAGCTAATGAACAGGATACTAGTTGCAGTATTCTGCATGAACTGGAGTAGTCTACTACTAGGCTACACACTCAAGAGCAGTAAAGATGGATATATTAAAAAAAAAAAAAAAAAAAAGACAAAAGAACTTCTGCAATATAAAGAGTCAGAAATAAATAATCAGTGCATTAACAAAATCATATGAGACAACAGACAACAGCAACATGACTGGTATATTTTGGCATTACCTGAAAGTGGAAAGCATTATACAACTGGTTAATATTATTGACTTTGTCTAATATTTCTCACTCCTCCTCACACTTCTGGGGAGAGTAATGCAAAATTCTTGTGTTTTCAGCAGACCTCTGATACTCAATAAAGAAGGTAACTTTTCATTAACAAAATGTCTTTTGTTTAACGTATAAAATGTTATGTTCATATATTATATAAACTATGAAAAATATAACCTCCTCAATAAAAATATAATAGCACATCAAAACAACACGATACACTTGGAAGTATCAGGTTTTATGAGCCTATTGAAGCAATACCACACAATGATACTGCACACGAACATTCAGGAGCTGCCAAATGAACAGCAAGGAAAGAAACCAGAAAAAGAAGCTACAGAACCAGGGATCCCTTGCATCATTCCAATCACATGTGCCTTTTTTGGTGGGTAATCCACCATAATCTTCAGAAATAAACTCTACTTAAAGACAAGTAATCCACTCCCTATTTGCAGGCATTTCTTTCTACATAGAACCATAGCTCTCCTTCCTAAGCGAAGGACAATACAAGGGGTGGGGGGAAGGGGAGCAGGGAGAATGAGTTTGCCCAGACTCTGCTCTATCCCAAAATACTTCCAGACCAAGCAGTCCATTCCCCTTCCTGGAAAGCAGCTGTCTCCTTTTGTTACCCATTTGCCTTGCAGCTCAAGCAGCAGCAGTTTATGCTACTGAGAATACCTGGTTTTTGGGGAAGGGCTGTTACGAATACTCAAATGTGGATCTTTTTATGCATTTAAAAACCCTTAGGAACACCACTTGAAAAAATAATTTTGTTGTCTTTGGAGTCACAGATGCAGAGAACTGAAAACACCATGCAACTGTACCACTACTCTGGTTAGTTATGCCTGTTACATCTTTAATTACACGACCGTATAGCGTTCTCCTCCTCCTCCCCCCTTCTTACTGCAACAAATGGTGACTTTTCCAGTGCTACTTTAATCCTGGAAGAACAATTGGCAGGACAAAGAATACTGTTTTCTGAACTTTAAAAAAAAAAAAAAAGAGCTGAAGCACATTTACATAATTACATTTGTTTGGAAATGTGATCTTGATTAAAAAACAGGAATAAATGGACACTAGGATTCCCAAAAGCTAAACAGAAAACATCTTTTCTTTAACTTGACTATTCGTGCTTCCATTAAATGCCGCCTTACTTTCAGGAGCAGAACCCAGTTTGACAATTACAGGCTAAGGAAGAAAACAGGACCTTTTGAATAAGACAGTTAAAAAAATATAGTTAAACTGAAGAACAGCAGGCACTATCAGGAAAAACAAAAATCAGCAAATTCTTACCTGTTATTTAACGTGGTTGGCAGAGGATGCGTTGCATTGGGTGGCACAGTTGCATGAGTGAGAGGAGAAGGGTTCTGTGATATTGTTGCTGGGGTCTGAATTACCCCATTTAAAGCCCCTACAATTCCATTGATTGCCAGCTGGCTGGCTGGCAGTGCTCCAATTATTCCACCCACACCAGGCACTGCAGGAATGGTGGAGGTTACAGTCTGCATACCACTAGCTAGTGCCCCCACTGTCACACCATTGACCTGTTGAACTCCTGTGACTCCTGAGCCTTGCTGAGCTGGACTCTGCCCAGCAGGTGGTGGAGTGGAAAGAGCTGATGAACTGCTGGTGCTTTGTCCGCTGGAGGTTATCTCCTGGTGTAAAAACAAACAACAAAACCCCCTCAGCTGCATAAAATTTCACCTAACAGCACAATACAAGGACTATGATGAGTTAACTTGTAACAAGTTTAAGTTTAGAAGAAACAAATAAAAATTACCTGATTTAATACAGGAAGAGAATTGTCTGGTAAAAAACTGTTTCCCAGATGAGGGCTTTTACTGCTGTTCAAAGAATCAGTGCTAGGTGCTAAAGTAATTATTTCAAAAAAAACACACAGTGGTTAAATTTCTGTAACATGTAAAAAGATTCAGAGTAATTATTTCAAAATAATGTCAAAGGTAAACACAAAATGTAAAGTCAACCTTAAAATCATTGCTGAATAGTAAAAGATTAACTAAATAATTGGTGAATCAATAGATTCAAACAGATGTGCTCCAGACTGAAGTAAAAAAGAAACGGCACTGAAACAAGTAGTGATGCTTCATATAAATCTTCCAATTGACTTCTAAACATTTAAACACACAAACAAATACTTAGTCTACATTCATCCTACATATATCTGCATCTCCCATCAATGGCATACACAGATTAAATAGATACTTCATATAAATACATGTTCGCATTACTTTTACACTTTAATACTCTACTTACCTGCTTGTACTGGAAAGGCATGTAGTTGATGAGAAGGGCTAGGATTTGAAGATAGTGTTGGAAAGGGCACCGAAAGCTGTGCATTGAGTAGCTGAAGCCGCTCCTTCTTAGCGGTCAGATTCTTTATCTGTTCTTCTAACCGCCTATTTTCAACCTGAAGTTGGTGTAATGATTTAAGCATTCCTAAAACTAAGGTAAAAATGCATATGTTATCTTTCACAACCACATTCAAAGAATGAATAACATCATCTTTTTTTTTTTTTAATTTCTGTATTACAATTTAAGACTAGCATTAAGTCATATGTGAATATATAAATAAATTATTACTGAGAGATACATTACAGAAATTTGACTTTAAGTGGAGAGGTTTAGGATCGATTTTGTGTAATTTCAAGTGCAGAAAAAAGTACGTAGCATGTGATAGTAATTTTGCAATATATCTACACACTGGCTTAAATACAGATACAGCCCTAATGTCATTAGGGCTGACATTCATTTTAAGCAAACGGCAGTACATAACAACTTATCCCCAAACCAGAATATAAAAACAGTATTATTTTAGTAGCACAGGTTAATTGCATAGTTGGGAAAAATCTATTTCAGCTGCAGTATTAGAAATTTTAAACATTATCAAAACAGAAGAAGTTTGACAAATATGCATTCAACTAACAATACAGCCGATCAACAACATTTATGTAAAAACAAGCAAGGTAGTGAAAAGGGAGTTTTTCTGCTTTAATGCCCTGTACAGTGAATCACAAACATACAGAAACAATGAAAAAGAAAGTCATCCAACGTGAAGTTATCATGACACACCTTGTTGTGAGCAGGAGCTCTCATTTGCTTAAAAGCGGCTATCTACAAATCACCCAGCAGGGAGCACTGTGTGAGCACTGCAGTTACCACCCCATTTTTGCAGAAAAAGGGCATCATCTTCTGTACTAACCTGATTTTTACCAAGCACGGTTTTCTCAAACGGCGATTTGGTTTCAGAACTTGGATTTCCCAACTAGTACTAGAGTGTGACTGTAAAGCCACAGGGATAGCCATTTTTTTTTAATTCTAAATTGTATTTGTTTAACATGACCTCTGGGCCTACTACAGACATAAGTCTACTGGTATAGGCACATCTGGTCATTTCCCAAGGATTTAGCTTTTATCCCTCCTCTTCAAGAACATACAAAGGAACCCTCAGTGAGCCCAAATGAGATGCAATAAGACTTAGCTAAACCTGTCCTCCAGCTATCATGTTTAAAGGATTATCCCTGCATGAATTTCCTCACAATTAGCATTTTTGTCAGAATACCATTCATAAAAATACCAACTAGATACCACTTTACGCTACCAACAAGAGGAATAGTACGTTCAATAAAATATAACACAAACCCTAAGCTGGTATTAAAAAAATTTTTTAAAATTTATTCAATCATTGTCTTTCATACTGATATATTGTTGAATATAGAGAACCAAGTGATCTACTCATCACTTATGCTTTTAACGTATTCATTCTTGGACTATTCCACTCTATTAAACATAACTTGGGAAAATAATGATTTGCTTGCTTTGAGAATTTCACGAGAAATGCAGAGCATAGCAAAGATATGAAAGGCCAGTACGACACCTGCCTAACATTTGTAAATATTTTTTTAAAACAGCAAGAGAATTAGACAGTTTAGAATTAAAAAATGAAAACTATAACAATAAAAAATTGTTACGCCAATTTATAATCACACAATATAAAGCAAACTGAGGAACTGTGCTATACTATTTACAGTAGTGGATCTAAGAGTCCAGAATTCATTTCCAAACTCTGCAACCGACCAGCTGGATCTGCAAGTCACTTCCTCTTGCATGACACAATTTCCCCATCCATAAAAATGTAGATAATTATAGAGAACTCTTTTGTAATCTACTGAAGCCATGTGCTGCATTAAGAACTATGTTACAGTGATACACTACGGTTATATTTCTATTCACAGCAGAAAATAGTTTTTTTTTTAAATTCTTGGACAAGCACTGAATGGCAGTTCTGAATAACAGAGTTAAGAAAAGCAGTAATAAACACAGAATGTGAGTACTTACTGTCACTAGGGGTGCCTTGCTCTAATAAAAACTGCTGTCCTTCACTCCATTGCCTCTCCAGAAGCTGTTCTATGCTGGCTGCTACTGGGGGCAAATTTTCCCCACAACTGTTCCCTGATTGATCATAGCGAATCTGCAAGCTGCTTACAGGGGATCTGTTGAAAATATTGCAATTTATTGTTTAAAGAAAAGGATGGAAGGAAGTGTATTAGTAAAAGGCTGGTGAAGTTTCTTACCTGGTATCAGCCCTTAGCACCTACATATCTTACATCTCCAAGACTAAGTTAATTCATCAAAATCACTAAGAACTCCTGGTTCTCACTGCCAAGACTTTAATAAAAGAAAGATGTAATATTTCACAGCATGAGAATTTATACTGAGAAAGCACATAACCTCTTCTTGCATACAGACTAACATAATACCTAACTGACAAAAATCATTGTATTAAATTATACAACACATACTTCTACAACAGGAAACCATTGTATATGGATACATAGAGCACCTGTCTTTTAAAAAAAAAAAAAAAACAAAAAACAAACCTTCAAACCTTTCCCAGAGAAAACTGGGGAAAAGAAAAAGTATTAAAATCAGCACAGTAATGGTACTTCCACATAGAAAGGCCATATATAATTCCACTGTCTAACTCGTTCTAAAAAGAATCATGTAAAACCAGATTTTTGAGGGACTACGTGAAAATATTATTTCACAAGGGACGCAATGAAAGTTAAAGTTATCCTCTGCCTGTGCTATGCACACTTAATATACTCCCTTTTTTACTCATGATCACACACAGTTTAAAGAATAATCCCTTTGCCACATGTCTTTTCTCATTCAGAAGAAAATTAAATATTCAGCACACAGCCACTAAGAAAGCTGGGTACCCCTCAGGTCCTATGAGAAGGCTTCTTTTGCATTGGATGGGGCAAAATTTAACCTGTGAGCAAAACCAGATGCTCAGTGTATTTCTGACTCGGGATTCTGGCCTCATGTACGCATGGCCCCATTCCTCATACAGGACCAACACCAAAGCCCACTAGAAGTTAGCTGGTGTTTTTGTTTGTTTGTTTTGTTGGGGTTTTTTTTTTTTGGTTTGGTTTTTTTGTTTTTGTTAAATCAACTCCAGTGAGCTCAGATTCAGACTCTTATTACTTACAGTAATAACTATTGGTGCCGTCACAGGATCACAGCCATACTGTTCTACATGTAGTGCAAACTTACCAACAAGACTACCATAGTCCCAGTACAGGACAACATATAGGGCTCAGGAAATCAATGTGTTAATTATGATTAGTGTAATAAGCAGTGGTCACAGCACATTAGCTACCTAATGACTGTCAAGCATTTTGGAGGCACCAGAGCAAAGCGATTTTTACGAGAAAAGGTTTTAAGTAGGTGACTTAAGAGCTCTCCAAGTATTTATAAATAATTCCTCTTTTGCATACAGGATGAAAGAAGAGTAACACTTACTAAAACAAAAAGCCCTGATGAATGGGTAACCAAGGTAGTAGGTTTTGACAAGAGATGACAACTCAACAGCATTTAACAGTTCAGCATAGACATGGCAAAAACAGCCTTAAAACTAGTTGTTTACACGATGTGCTGAAGTGATAAGAAGGAAGGTTTATGTGGAAACATTCTGAACAGATGTACTATACTCCACACAAACAACGCACTTAAAAAAAACCTGAACCAACCAAAAAAAAAAATTAAAAACCAAAACAAAACAAAAAAGAAACCCAGAAAACAAATACAGAAAACCACCACACAACCCCTGCAGCAACTTCTTTCTCTGTATGCATGCTTTTGAAGGGTACATAACGCTACTCTAACAGATTGCGCCATTTGAATTATAAATCACCAACAAAATTCTTGTTGGGCTTAGGACTGTTTCCTATCAATTTCACAAAGGTAGAAAGAAAGCAACACATGACTGTATAACCTCTGCAATCCTTCACTGGAAGCCTGGACAGAAGGAGGAAAAAAAAAAAAAAAAAAAAAAAAAAAAGAAAAAATCTAGATTTCCATGTATTGCAACATTAGTCAATCCATCCTCTTCCAGCTGAACACTTGCCTCATTCATTAGTCATGATACCGTTCTTCCATACTAGGTTGAATCCTTATTCCAAACAGTATTTGATCATAGTTTCTGATAGGATTATAAGTGTGCTGTATGCGCAGGTCCAATGCTGTCACTGAGATGGGAATCCCTTGTTTCATGTTTCATAACTTGCTTACTTTCACAACTTTTTTTTTTTTTTTTTTTTAAGTTTGGGGTACAGTTATTCACACTCTTACAGTATTAATTGTAAGCAATACTGAATTTAGATACAGGCACATATACATACTTCAATGCAGGTATTACATAACTCATTTTTAAATCTAAGGTTAAGTATGGGGTAAAAAAAGTTTAAGTGCTACCTTGGGAAAAGCAGCAATTCCTTTGCAAAATGGAAATGGCTCACATATACCAGGTATAGTTATATTTCTCATATATATTAAAACTTTAAATATGACAGCTTAAACATCAAACACTGATTATATAGGGGTAGAAAGATATAACAATATGAATTTGAAATGACCATACAGCTCACGAGTCACATACGTCTTCTCTGAAGAGCTGCAATCGGCTGCGTCATCAACAGCAAACAATTGTTTCTGCAAGTGTTTTTATTTTAAGCAACTATTTGAAAATTACATGGTTCTTTTGGAGAAGTGTGTTATTTATGAATCTCATAAGCTTCAAAGGGAAGAGAGTCAGAACTTGCAGAAAAATAATTTTAATAGATAAAGCAGGTAACATTCAGAGTTGCAAAGTTTTCAGATAGCAGATTTTTGAAGTTAGCTTTTTATTCACTATAAACCATATTTTAAGTAATCAGATTTACTTATTTATTTAATTGGGGAAGGTGGGATGGTACCTACACATTTTAGAAACGTCGACATATGTGTGATCTTTCTTATCACACAAACCAGGGGTGAAATTTGCTGACTACTGAACTGAATTGAATGGGTAAGTTTTCTAAATATTTTCCATGCTATGTATTTCAGACTAAGTTTTTCCACCTTTCAATTTTGGAACTACACCAGTGGTTTCTCCCCCTTTCCCCCCCCACTTCTAGCTCGTTTTTTAACAACTCTACTGCCAAGCAAAAGCTATCTGCTCTTTGTAAAGTGATACAGCTTCCATACACTGAAGGAAGCTCTGCAATTGTGGACTGAGGTGGCCTTTGTATCATACATTTCTCCTTTGCCTTCCGCACCAAAAACAGCTGAAATTTGACCATGTTGTAAGTGCTGGACTGTATATACCCTGAACATATGCATCGTAGAAGCATCATATTTAAGAAGTTTAGCTTCCCAAATATTCTACCTAAAGACAGCCTGAACACAGCTATGGCCTACTGCAAATCATACAAAGACCAGGTGTGTGCATATTAACTAAGAAGGCATTAAAACTTGTAATTACCACAATGCATGTATGCATAAGAGGACTACTTAATATATAATCAAAAGTTCTGGAATTTCCTAATTGTTGAGCATTTCCCTTTCCAAAATTCTCTTAATTTACTTGACTGTACATATACAGACATGTTCCTTAGTTATATAAAGATTTATATGCTAATGTAAATATATGTATTTATACTGAGAACACAATCTAAAATAATTTGTAAATTCGCTATTTATTGTTTTAGAAGTAACACATATTGGAAAGCTTAAAAGCCAGTTCATGACTAGGTAATAACACCTAAGTATTATAACGGATATTCTCACCCCATTCACCAAGAAGTCTTTTGATTAATTAAGGAGTATAATACAAGATCAACAACACCAGGCATGTATGTACATTAAATTATCTAATTTGGAGATATTTATTATAAATTACTGTAATAAACACATGCTGTAACAATCAAATTCATTGTTACAATGCTGTATCTGTGTAACTACCATTTTTTAGCTATCCTAAAATCCTTTTCAAGATAAAATCCACATGGTTAGTCCCTAAGTAAAAAAACTACAGTAACAACACTGTAAAATCTAATTCATATGGGACCCAGTATGGAAAATAAAGCCCTTTAAAAACAAAGATTCACTTAAAATAAACAGAAAATATTACTGAAGTATTTAAAACATAATATTGAAATTTTAAGAGAAGTATTTTAAAACAAAATAATGTGATACAATTCCAGCAGAATTCTTACGTCAAAATTCTGTAGTAGAGGTGAATTGCAGCGCAACAAAAAAAGTACTTCTTTTTTTGACAGAGAATCGTTGCGTATTTTGAAGTGATGAGGGGAAGAGAAGAAAATACTTGTTTGATGTTTTTACTGATATTTAACTTCTCAGACTATCTGATTCCTGTGATAGTTGTAGTCTTTAAGTCTACGGGATTTTGGAATTTTTGCAAATATGACTAAAAATATGCTTATGGTAACAAATCTGAGGAGATAAGTAGTACATGTGGATTAAATGATAGATAAATCCCTCTAAAGCAAGTCTCCATTTCTTAGGTAAAGTCCTTCATTTGTAAACCTAATTTCAGTTGATATAAAAGTAAATTTCAGCACATTTTTAGCTATCTGGACATATTAGGGGGTTTTTTTAGACAGATGTATCTATATAAAAATAAGTTTAGGTATACTTGTGTGTGTGTATATACACATATATAGATATATATGCTTTTAAAACACTTATGTATTATTAGTAAAAAGACAGAGAAGTTTTCAAATCTTAAAACATTTCCTCTGCCTGCACTCTCCAATGTAAATAATGCTTACCGTGGTGAGAGACTTCCTCTGGGTGAACCTCCTCTGCCAACAAGGCTGCGGCTATTATCTCCGAGATCTTGATCTGCAGTGTAAATATTTCACAGCTGATAAATCGACTCTTCTTAGATAAGAGTTTTAAAGCTGATGTAAATATTTTAAAAATACCTTAAATCTCAACTTCTATCTGTAGTTACTGCTGAAGAGTGAATATGTAAGTAGTTTAAGATTGCTGAACTGTAGCATGTAAGGTGTTGTCCTTACACATTTCTGAGGCTGTACCAGGCCATGGATTATGTTCACTTCTTTCATTCCTTTCAGTTTTACAGCACAGAAGCGTGGTTTGCATTTGCAGTACCCTCCCCTCAGCCACTTTTAATTTCTACGGTGAAAGTAATGAATCACAGCTGTGGACAGCTAATCTGTATGCTTATCACAGCAAATCCTGATGCTCTGTATTTTTTTTAACACTTTGCATCCCAAAACAACTCATAAAATATATAACTTATTAAACTTACCACTGCCATCTAACAAGCACACAGTATTCTGCAAATTTACTGAAAACTTTATGAAAACGTATAACTCACTAATTCCTATTTATAAGCAGAAGCATAGGAAAGTCCCTTGCTAAAAAGGTAGTAAAACAAACAAAAAAGGCCTCATTAAATATACGAAAACGTTTTGCTTGGAAGGACTCAAAAGGGTTATTTTCCCTATGGCCTCTCAATAAAATAACCCTATCTGCCCCCTTCAAGGTTGCCCTCCCCCTATTCTGAGTCAGGCGACCTCCGACCTCTTGGAGGGCAAAGACATGACTGATCCATTCTTGGTAAACTGCTAAACTCATTCCCTTCCCCCAAACAGGCATGACTACTACGACATGTCAACAAATCCTTACGGAGGGAATGAAACAAAGCAAAGCCAGCGGCTCATTAAAACTGTAGAGGAGAGCCAACAGTACAAAATGCCAATCAGTAAATATTCACAAGATTATTAAAAGCTGCAGAAGTTCTCTAACGGGATCTCTTTCACACGAAGTTGTATGTAATGCAATTTCATGAATTATGCAAATAAAGGTTTAACTATTCACGACAAAACCCAGAGCTGTGTTACTCTCGTTGCAAAGAGCTCCGAACTGAACACATCAATCACAGAAGT